ACTGTCAACCAGTATAATGCAACAAATGATCATTTTTTTCAATTAGAGTTATGGAGATGAGTGTTTTGACACATTTGAAATCGTCAATCAATCATTGTTAGACCACCATTAGAAACCTGGAAGCACTGGATGGCCGTTTCGTCCTGGTATGGGACTCATCAGTGGCAGTGCGCATACACGACTCCTGCATCTCGCAGGATTCGGACCCGGGACTTTCGGTATTGTGCGCGAACACATAACCATTGGACCACCGGGCCGATATCTAATGGTGTTAATGTTTAACTCTGATTGATCTACGGATGTTTGCGCGACCTCACCCATTTGTCTTTGGTAGTTACTGCCTACACCCGACAGGGTTGAACTCCACTGGTCACGTCTTCGCAACTAGAACTCCGAGAATTTCCTCACGAAGCTAGTCACTAATGAGCACATTTTACCAGGAGGAAACTGCCATCCAGTGCTTCCAGGTTTCTAATGCTAGTCTAACTACGATTGATTGATGATTTCAAATGATCATTGAAGATTCGCATCCTTATTAAGAATTAATATTGATCATTGTACCTGACTAACGTGAATTGATGGGAGTTTAGACTTGTGCGCCATGGAATTCTCAGGCTCAGTGATTTAGAGATTAGGCGCTCGCACCGAATTTTCAAAATTCTTCAGTTCATTTCATATTAAATGCTAATCGTGCAATAAGTGACTGATAAAAAAAATTACTACTGGAAATATTATCGACAATAATTCTCTATAAACATTGTAGAACCGAGCGCATAAGTGGTCAGTTCAGATGTTCACATTACAAAGATTGAATGTCCATGTATTGGTTAATTTTGTCCTAATGAACTGTTGGCAACGCCCTTCGGAAAAGTCTATAGAGATTCGTAAACTCCAAGAAATATTTCATCTTATCAGTATTGAATAACATCTTCACAGAGATATCTGGATAATGAAGAATCACAGGGGATAATGTTGTTTGGTCGATTTCGACTTGTTCTTAATCTTCGTGATTATAGCTCGTCTAGACAATCGTTACTAACTAACTGTCTGACGGTTTATAAATCAGAAGGTGAACACAAAGTGTTGAATACGTTCATTTTCGACACACTGCAAATAGACCAGTAGACTACAAGCGCTATAATATAAAATCGTTATGCAAGCGCCGGAAAGCAGGCAAGCGAGTGAATAGGCCAATGAACGGATGAAGTGATGTAGAGAAGGCTAGTGAGCCAATACCAAGAGACCGAACATGACTAAGAATTTATAATCGGAAAAACAAGACAGACATATGACCAACGAGATAGACATGCATACACATGAATAAAAGCGACGAATGAGTGACAAGGTCAAAAGACAAGTGAGACAAGTCACGTGAGCCATGCAAACCAGACAATAATAATAAGAACGAATGGTACATACAGATTGTTACTCCCAATGCAAACAGCTGAGTTAAATAAATGCCACACCGAAATAGCTTAACCAAATTAAATGTAAGCGAACCCGACGAATATATGTGGAGGAGGCACTACACTGTTACTAAAGTTAATATATGGTTTTGCCTAACATTTCAAATATGAAGAATCATAATTATCTCCATAATTACTTCATTTTTGTACATAAAATAACTTGTGTTTTGTTTTCAAGTTATCATGTAGATTCAACCTGAGGTTATTAGAAACGTAGATAGGAAATTGGGTTTGGAAATGGTTTTCCAC